ATAGGCAAATTTTTAAACACATTCCCCCAGTACCAATTTGAAGCTAACTGAAAAATGACGGGAAAATCTACAAATTTTATTGTAAGCATGATTGTGCATATCAAATCTAGAGAGCAATCTAAAATCTGATTAGACCTACTTTATTTCATCTTTAATTGATGAATTTCCTGCTTCTTGTGCACGTAACCTCTTTCTAGAAGACATATAGTCATACACCTTGTCTGTCCAGCCACATGACCTTAAAACTGACTTTGCCTCTTTTCCAAGCCTGAGTAATGTTTTGAAAATACAACATCAAAATAAGGCATATAACAAGTACTTCAAAAGGCATGTGATGTACTGATTGTTTAATCAATTAAGTAAGCATGAACAAAGGCATAACAAATTGGACATGAAAAAGAATCCCATAAGATCAAGATAACCTAACACCAAGTACTACATAACATAACATAACATAACATACTTTAGCACCCATGAGATAACTGAAAAAAAAATGAATATTTATCAATAAAAAGAAATGGCGGAACCTTCAATGACATAAAATGAACTCACAACTTATAGTTCAAAAAGGAGAAGCCAACTAAGAGATCAAATGGCACGTGCCTGGAGATGATCAGGGTAGCATAAGCCCCACATTGCATAGTATGGAATACTCTATGGGTTATTCATATGGCTTATTTCTCCCACCAAAATATCTAGCTTTTGGGAAGGGTTCTCCACTTGACTTGGGTGCCCATCAACATCACACTCCGAAAATCCCATCAATATAAATAACCAAAAAGTAATAGTTGCAAATCTTAAGCATCAACTGAATAACAGATTTGAAACACAACTAATATTGATTGTATGATAGGGATTAAAAAAGAGCCAAAAGTAGATGATAAATCATCAATATATATCTGTAAAATAAGAATAGCCAGGCCATACTTAAACAAAATAGCCCTTAGATTCTAACATTCTAACTCATGTTAGATGAAAGATTTCGGAAAGGGCACAGTTAAGACATATCAGACCTGTCTTTAAGTTCCTGAACTCTTGCTTCAGACTGATCATCATGTGCAAGCAAAATGCTGGTAGCCTCTGGTTCCTTCCTCTTATTCTCCAATGAATTAGGTTTGTTGTTGAGACCATTGGCTTCTAGCTTATGGTTGTAATTTCCTGATATTGCTCTGCTTCTCCCAGTGTCATCCATAAGATCTGACTTTCTGGGATATTTTTCAACAGAATGAATACCAGTGTTTTTATTTGTTAATACTGAATCCTTCCTTTTTAAGTTGTCAACAGCATCTACTTTATTTTTTTCAAAACCATTCCTGATTGATGAAGAATCTTTCTTCGCATTCTCCAAAGAAATTGAGTCTTTTACATGTCCATTAGTTACTACAGGCTGATTCAACGGAACATCAACTTTCCCATTGAAACTTTCATGGCCTCTTTTGGAAGTAGAATTTCCGTTAAAATTAAACTTCACTCGGGGGCTAGAAGGCTCTTTACCAGTCTTGGACATGGCAGACATGTCCTTCCAGGAAGATTGTTGAGAACTTAATTTTGTATGCACTACTTTTGGTGGTCCATCATATTTTGGGCATTCACATGCCTGACTACCATTAATGTGATAAGAGTCCTGAGACCTTGAGCCGTTCGAAGCAAAACCATTACTTACAGGCACAGGCCTTTGGTTAGTGCGAGAAAAAAAAAGTATGTAAACCTTTTCTGACAAAACTTCTTTCAGGGTTGCAAGTGAGACAGAAGAATCATCACAGCAATACCACCGGCCTTTTGCATCCTGTACACAAAATACATAATTAAGTTGCATTATCTAGACTGCTAAGAACATGACATGCGTATAGGTGAAGAATATATTAATAGACCTTTATATAAGCATAATAATGGCCTGATTCTGGGGAGTATCCAGAATGAACAATAGTACCAAAGAGCCTATAGTCTGGCATTGGATCCTGCATGAGCACGATAGAATTAGAAAAGAACCAAGTTGAAAACCATATTATCAAAGGAAAAAAAAAAGAAAAATAAGATTACTTGAGGCAATATTGGATAGGAACAATCAACCTGACAGAATTCAGCCAGGTTAAAGGCTTCTAAACATTCTTAGGGGGGTAGCCTTAACCTAGCAAATTAGGCTTTATAGCAAGTGCAATAGCATAAAAACCTGCAGGGCAGAATATCCTACAGTCTTGATTAGGATGAAATTTTATATTTCATTCATAAATGGTCCATGGATTATAACCAACGTTGTGCTCACACAGGAGCACAGCAGCCAACTTGTCCTTATCCTATTCATTGTATCTCTATAATAAGATGTCAATACTTAAACAAAAACAGCAAAACACAAATAACCATTAACAACAAATAGGATGCTTTCTCGGACCAGGAAACAAAGCTCTATACCCCGCCTTTCTGAAAAGCACATAGTCTGCGAGACTAAAACTCAAGAGTGCGAAAGAACTCATCATAATCATAATTATCTAAATAGCACACATTGGAAATGAGCACCTTGCAGTAGTTAATACAAAACGAATACTTTACCCACCTGGCTTTGTTTGCACATGAAGCTAGAAAGCACCAAAATGTCTTCAAATGCAACAGCCTTATCGATCTTCCCACCCAATATGCCCTCAAATCTCTGACAACCAAATTCAATGGAACATCCTCATTCAAAGGCAAAGATGCAACAAACTCACGCAATCGAAGATAAAACAAAACTGCACCAAAAAAACCAACCTTAAGTTGTATGACGAGGACATTAGGGGCTTGAAGTATAGACATTTGTTTCTTAGCCGTCACCAATTTCTTGCAACTGAAAAACAGTAAGTTTGTTAATCAAACAAGATCAACAAAGAGAACCGCCGGGAAAAAAATTGGAAAGACTAAAACACTCACTTGTCACATTTGTACTTGTTATTCCCATCTAAAATCTCAGGCTGAAAGAACTTTTGCATAGCATCTTTGAGCGAATTGCTATGTAAAACATCAAGACTGATATCCATAATTTCATCCACCTTATTGGACTCATATCCACAAGAGAGACACTTCACCTGGCTCTGCAAGGCTCCCCCAAATATCTCCTTCACAACAGTATTGCAGCCGTTACCATTGACAGCGGTATCGCCCCCTTTGCGCCTCAACTTCTTGAGGCGAAGGCAGGTGTTGTGGCAGGCATCGATAACGTACCTCAGGAACTCGTGAGCATCCTCCTGACGCCCGCAACGAAAGTGCTCGGCGAAAATCCTGAGACAGCTCTGGATCTTCAACGGAGCATCTTGGGCGAGATCCACTCTCAAAGAACGAACAATTCGTTTCTCTAGCAGACAAAAGGGGCAGTCCCGCTTCCTTTCCTCCGAAGCAGAATCGCCTGAATCCAAACGCAGAACAAAAATTAGGGCACAAATTGAACAAAAACCCAAAAAAATAAAGTAGACGAAAATTAAGGGTGGAAGTAAAAAGGGGGAAAGATGCGCACAAAGGGAAGAGTGCTGGTTTAGAAGACAGAAATTGGCCAGAGGAGGAGTGTAGGTAAGACACTGGAGGACGCTGTTGAGGTAGCAAGAGTTGCCGAGGTTCCTGAGGCCCACAGGGTGATCGGTCTTGCGCTTTTGAGTGAGAAGACTCGGCAGCCAAGTCATCTGCAATTGCAAGGCCATCAACGACGACGACCTTCGGCCGCGTGCTCCGGTGCATTGGACGCCGTCGTCGTGGAAAAGATAAACCCTGAGCAGCAGTAGCAACGCCACCACGACCACCGCAAACGCATCGCTCTCTAGGTCCTTTCTTAGTTGGTTCGCGCTCCTTCGGTCTCCAGCGCGTTCTTCGAAACGCGAAAAGTAAACACAAAATGTCCACAAACACTAGTGAGAGTCGTGGATCAAATTGGACGAAGTTTTCAAACCTACCTTCCCTACTCAATTTTTGTCATTTGTTGGGACCATCTTTTCATTTTAATCTTAATATTAGCGCTGATGTTAATTCGTTAGCGAATATGGTCATCTCTGAAGAGGTGAATATTCAAACCTACGCGTCTGGTTATTGATCTGTAGTGTACAGAGATAACTACCATCAAGCATAAAAATTTTCTTTAAAAACTACAAATGTTTTTCTCAAAAAAATTAAGTATACAGTAAATAATAAGTTGTGAACCTCATAATATATCTCATTTATTCTATAAAATAATAATAAAATGTGAGATTTAATAGTATAACTTCATAATTAGTAATTAGTAAGTAGTATTATTTTTCTGGTAATGTAAGTAATATTACTTTTTATTAATAGTGAAATTTACTTTTAACTATATACGTGAATCTCTTTAAGTACGGAAATTTTTAATGAGATAAAGCTTGAACTTAATTTCTAATGCAAAAATATAAAATGGACGTATTTTTAATAGAAAAATCAACCATAATATTAAGTCTATAACAAATTACAATATTTATAAATAATGAAAAATGAAAAATGTGCTTCACTTTCATGTTCCAAATTTGTATGTCAGAGGCTTAGTCGAATGGATTTGGATAATTGGATCCATCAAATGAAGTTCCATCAATTACGCTTCAATTGGAAAATATTAATCATGACATTGTGACTTCTCTCAACGCCATTAAATCACAATGTAATAGTTAATACTCCTGAGATTTATCATTTGAAGAGACACAAATTTAGTGAAACAGAAAAGGAGTGGTTTTTTTTTACAAAGGGGGGGGGGGGTGGCCGTAACGGTAAAAACTACCAAGACAGTTAAAATGAAAATCATCTGTTTCCGACATCCCCGCCAAAAATAAAACTTATCCAAACAAAGGATAAGTTTGTGAGATCAAATAAAAATAACCTTTTTCTATTTATATACTCGTGCATTAAGAAAATAATATAAAAAAAGTATAATTATTACATATAAAATTTGCATCTCAGTTTTGCTTTCATTTTTTTTTTTTTTTTTCCAAATGCAATAAATGGATTTATATTTGTAATGTAAAGAACTTGGGTGTAGATTCAAAAGAAGCAAATATTGAATTGACGCTGCTTAATGCAATCAACTGCACACAAACTACACGAAGGACCTGTTTAATGAACTAGAAATTATCTGAATCAACAAGACAAAAAATGTTTTGAAGAAACCAGATTGTACAAGATAAAACAGGTATTTTATCTGCAGCTCTACCCAAAAAACAAAAAATTGCCCTAGTTATCAGCTCCTGGACAATCATTTTCAATCTCCTGAAGAGTGAAATACCATTTGCTAAGCACCTTTTTTCTCATGTTGAGCCACTAACTGTAATCTTCATACATTACATTTGACCTGCATGTTACTTTTCCCTGTCTAGAATCAGTAACAACAGACTAAAAGGCAGAAATCCGTATCCATGCCTGCTTAGACAAAAGTCAACAGATGAAAATACAATGCCCTCTAGTGATGACAGGAGAGAACTGTCTTCATCATCTATGTGTATCAGTAACGAGAATGGACACTGAAATAGAGGGAAACAAAACTTCTCTTCAGCGCTTGTTTGGTACTGAGAATAAAATGAGATCAAATTGGTTGGGGGGGGGGGGGAGTGATTTTGAACATAAATTATGATATGATATTATGTCTATGTTTTACAAAAAACAATAAAAAGAAAATAGAGATTATTGAATATAGATTATAACGTAAATGGACATTGCAAAAAGTTGGCATGAGAATCTCATTATTCCTTTGGACAAACCAAACAGGGCCTAAGGAGGGAAATTGTAGGGAGAAAAGGGATATTTTCAAGTGCAATACATACTACCAACCTTGAGAATAAGTACATATTTACTTGTTTGAAAACCGAAGATTCTGCCCAGGAGAAGATTCAGCAAGTTCAGTATCATTTGAAGTATCTCGCGTAGCTTCCTTTTTTAACTTGTGATTGTTATACGCTGCAACTCCTACAATGGCTGCATGGAAAATATTTCAGTAATGATCACAAGTGCTTTTACTTTCACTTGTTTTGCAGTTATAAAGGTTTGAAACTGCTTCATCTCCCAGCCTTGAATTTCTATTTCTCAATAAATATTTGCATCATTTAACTTTGAAGTTGATCACATCCTTTACTATGCATTCGCATCAAATGCTTACCAATTGCATAGCCAAACAAATTTATGATAGTCAATTTTGTATCAGCAAACAGAACAGCAGAGAGTAAGACCACCACCCAATCCTTGACAACTCCAGCAACACGAATGGTCAAAGCACTTGTGTGTGTAATCACAAGGAAAACTGATAAATTAAGAGCAAAAGTACAAAGACAGTTGAGGATTAGCACGGTAGGTGGGAAGTTCCATGATCCATGTTCTTCCATCTTCGTTTTCTCTAAAAAAACCCATGGAATGAATAGGCAAAGTGCACTGCAGTATAACCCAAAATTATTTTCAAAGGTATTAGTTTTCTGCATATTCAATTGAAAAAAAAAATCAGTTTTTAACAGTTAAAATTATAAGCACAGAACTATTACCAAAATAACAATTTTTAAGTGTAACATGTACCTGCAAGGACTAACGTAATACATAACAGAGATGGGATTCAACTTCAGACCCTTTCTCTTCACGAAAATTTCCATGAAGATAAGTCTTAGAGCTTCACCAACAACACCACCCATTTGGTAAATTACTCCAACCCAGTTTATATTTATCTCTCCATAAGAAGCCACTAAAACACCAAAACTAATCACTGACATGATTACAAGCATTCTGCAGCTCATCACCTCAAGTCCTACAGCTACTCCAAGGACAAAAACAGCTACAGGCACTGTCATGAAAGATAGAGATGGTGATTATACAGTTAATTTCCACACCGAAGGAATAATAATCAGATGCAATAATCAACAACCATGTACTCTACAGAAAATACCGATCATACTTTCCATCAAAATATATCATAATTGCCTCAAAATATGTAGCTATTGTGGATGAGCAACGGAATCATCACCAACTTACTGATTGCCTTCAACATTTGGGCAAATGATACCGAAATATACAGATAGGCAGTATTTCCCAGCCAGAGAGTCATCGCAAACATAGCCCCAATTGGCACAACTGACGTAACATATCTGAAATAATTAAGATCTAATTAAAGTTTGCTGGCAACTTCAACAACAACAACAACAAACCTTATCCCACTTGGTGGGATAATAAGTAAAAAACTTTCATGTTAACTAAATAGCCTCAATATCAATAATCTTGATCCATAAATATAATCACAAGCCATTCAGCGAGAAAATTCATAAAAAAAAAAAAGAATTTGACAAAAGATGAAAGTACCTAAATAAGGAAATCCATAGTACTAAAGCAAGATAAATAATAAACGGATGAGCACAGAATTGATAAGGAGCACGTATTTTCAGTTGTCCAATCAAACGGTGGCAGCCGAACTTTCAAAGTATAGAAGTTACCTAGTAGAGCATTCATCAAACAAGGCTAGAATCTACATTCAGATTTAACCATTCAAACATACAAAAAGTGTCACTATTCACTTCACGTTAAATGGTATTGTTGTGTGTCACTATTTACTCCAGAAAGAATAATATTTACAGTTTTAAATTATCACACCCCCATGACTATGTCCCAACAAAACATGGAAACAATTCACTTCTATAAACCACGGGCATGCAAATGCTACCCTGAGTTCTAAAAAATTATTTCACTTCTCCTAAACTTCCTTTCTTAAATAAATAATCAATCAATGCTGTCCAAATTTTTCTGATTCGGTAATTGTTTTATGAACTCACTAATAAAATTTCAAGTGAAGATTCACAATATATTCAGTCACCACCAGATAGGGAGAAAGTGATAATATCTATAATAAATATACCATAAATCAGATATGTTACACGGAAAATTTATTTCTTTACTCACATTTCAGTAGTCATTCCCTCCTCAACCTTCATAACCTGTAAAAAAAATATTAACGCTCTGAATTTCATAAAAGTAAATGGTTGAAAATTACACCAAGCGTAATCACAAACCTTTAGAATTTTGGTTAATACAAAACACAGAACAGAGGAGAAGACCATATGAAGTAGAGTCAATGCCAGAGGATAAGGAAAATTTATTTCCTTAGAGGACAAAACCCACTGCAACCAACAATTTGAAAAGAAAATGTGTCAGCAACATAACAGAGGTTTTAAGTATATATTCATTGAGAACTTCTATCAAATCAAGCATCCATGATAAAGACAAATGATAAACAGCTAAAAGTTGAAGACATAAAAAATTAAGGGCAAAAATAGAACAAGAATGAAGCCAAATGCTTTCAGAGTGAATTCTAAAAGAAATTGAAGCAATAAGACCAGTAACAAAATCCAAAGAACAAGCTAACGCAAGGTAATATTAACACCAGATTCTAACAATGGCAATGAGACAGACCACAATAAATTCTGAAACGTGGGTTTTCAAACTCTGCAAACGTATGCCTCCATTCGTTTTCATTCATTCCATCTCAGAAAAAGACAATAATCAACATAACCAAGCAATTACTTCACTAATGGCCGAGAGACTGGCCCCTTATTATCTCATCTAATTATTTGAAGAATTCTCAAATAAACCACCAATTGGGTAACTGAAAAAACTGAAGAACAATTGGGGAATAACCAAACTACATGGATTTTTTATGAGAATAAATTATTAAAATACCGAAAAATACGAGATCTCCCATAGTTTTCCGTGGAAGGAGCCAAAGAATGCAACTTATTTTCACAAGAAAGATACGAATTAATAGAGTCGAAGAATGTGTTGAAGGGAACCTTATTAAAGAAGATTTGGCCGCTGGAGAGAGCAATGTAGAGGAGAAGGTAACTATAGGTTAGAAGACCATCCTTCCTCTGATCCGCCATTGATGCTACGATGAAAGTGAAATGTTTAGCAAGTTATTTCAGCTTCAGTGACTCTTGCGTTCTTTTGGTTCGCTCTTGTCAAATCTAATCCGCTGCATCTTCAAACTTCGCCGAAGAAAAGTAAATATATGGTGGAAGGCCTCCAGAAAGTGGAAGCACTGAGAAAATTTGGCTATTGTTGACCTTTAATACTAGCTTCTCTCTGTTTTTTTTTTTTTTTCCTTTACATTATGTTAAACTCTCATATAAAAAATTTAATTATTATAAAATTTATTGATGATAGAATTAAATTGTATTGACAATTAATAATTTCTTAATGTAAGACTTAATTATAATTCTCTCTCTTTTTCCATCAGATTCATTCTTACAAAATTGTCAACCTTAACTCTTTCCCCCTAGTAAGGTCTATTAATCAAGACAAACAATTAAAAAAAAATTAGAGTTCATGCTTTCCCCATCGAATTCATGCATGTTGAATAATCTTGCAATTTTTAGTGGGGGAATGTATTGACTATTGAGTTGTTCTTATAATGTTAAAAAATTATATTCCGTCAAAAAATATTATCATGATTGACAATGGATTCATTTGTTATTATAGAGAAATCAATTTCAATATATTATACACGATTTATATAAATAAAAAAATCACACACGATTCATAAAATCATTAATCATTAATTAATTGACTATATTTTTCTTTATTTTTATTAAAGCATATCTTCCACACACAAAATGTTCGTACTTCGTTAATATGTTGCGCTTTTTGGTGACGCGCATAAAATAAAGTTATTCATATTAGACCAAATAAAGCTTTTAAAAAATAACTCCTCCGATTTATTGATCCGAAGGGGAGTACACAGTTTTCCTTTTTCTTTCTGTTGGCTCTTCACGTCTTTATTGATCCCTTGTTAACCTTTAGCCGAAAGCATGCGTTAAATAACTCCTCCGATTTTGAATCAATGAGAAGTCGCTTGGAAAATGTCCAATAGGTCATCTGATATCTTCTCAAGCTAGTCATAACTCATACATACAAGCCATTCAGAACATCCATTCTTGATTTTTATGTATAATATATATCCAACCTATCATTAAGAGATGATAAAGCTGGATGAACAAGGCATGCCAGAGCAGGAAATGTCACCACACTACACCATTTGGGGTGGTAATATCGTGTATAGTCACTATGCTCATAGCTCATGTGCAAGATCATGGCTTTTCCAAAATGCTTCAAACCAACCCAGATGTGCAAAGACTCATTAAACAGTATGGCAGACAACATGGTGAAGAATGAAAAGAAGAACACCCTACCTTGTTGGCAGGAACCGCGTAAATTTCAAGCTGCCTGTTCTGAACTGTGCAACGCATGCTGAAAGTAATATTGTGAACCGAGGATCAAAAGGCACAATTTAAGAGATTTTATGTCTCATTTACATTTCCAGAAAAGATGCATTTTTTATGGAGAGATTATCGGATAAATTCGGTCTACAAATTCCAGTCGTAAAGATATACTTATGTGTGACTCGTATGATTATGTGCTGCTTTATAATTAGCTGGGTCTGCCTATCTTTGATAGAGCAGTTAATCAATACTCAACTTGTTTGATGCATAATAATTTTCCAATGAAGTTGTTGATATATGTTTTACCATTTTATATGTCAAAAGTAACAGTACAAAGCATGTTCAATTGCGAAGAGTTACCGAGAAGCTCGATATAAATTTGTCACTAAATCATCTCATGCATGGTTTCAGGTCATCTTTTTCGGCAGATTGTCATTCCATCTCCAATTGGCACCTAGGATCCAAAAGTGGTATACCATTATAAATCTCCATTATAGGGTCTCTTCAAAATTGTGTGAGAAATAGGAAGGCAGTATACCCACCATACTGATGCTTACGCGCTTGTCTTCGACTAACTTTTGATTAAAGTTTCTAATGCTGATGGTTTTAGGGTCATTTACCTGCACAGTAGAGCATTAAGGGTCAGGTTTCATTCTCATGCAAAGTTAAATACTAAATAATATACTCACCAGTGGGTCAGCAACCTTGCCGTGCCAAAGAACATTGTCAATTACAACAAGGCCTCCGACTCTCACCTGCAATAAGAAGTTGCTAACAATATACTTTGAACAATTCACAGGAAACCACATAGGAAGCTTAAGATTAATGTTACAATCAAGTGGCTAGTTGTTACCAGCTGCAGCAGTAGTTCAAAGTATTTCTGAGTCATCCTTTTATCAGCATCAATAAATGCAAAATCATAGCTGCACAAAGAAGCAACATTTCTTAAATTCCAATTTACTGATTTTATGTTCGACAAAGTTCACATTACACAGCTTTGATCAGTAGGCCACAAAAGCTCTGTGTTGAGAAAACAACTCATGCATAGGAACTCAACCAGTATTGCGTACCAAATAGCATGAAAAAACAAATTATAATGATTCCGAGGATCCCTATACCTGCCAGCTTCACCATCTAAAATTAAAGACTGTAGGGTATCTGCAGCAAGTCCAAATTTTACATCCATCTAATGAAAATAAAATCTGTCAGGATTCTACTAGAAACTTCAGAAGGTAAAAGAAAAACATAATTGAAAAAAAAATGGAGTTTACATATTCCAAAGTGAAAAAAAAGTAATTCATCATCTTTCTTCAAAATAAAACCAGAAGTATATATTACCTTATGCGAAACACCAGCTAGCTGGTAATATTTCTTGGCAACCTCAAGAGATTTGGCATCTCTTTCACAAGCAACTAAACAACCAGATTCTGGTAGGACCAAGGCTATGGCCAAAGATGAATATCCCTGGGGAAAAAGTAAGGATAGGATGCTTCATTCATACATACAAAGAAGCTCTACCTGAACTATTGCCATGGGTAGAGCAGAAAAAACTACAGCAAGATAACATGCTCATCAAGTGAATAGCAGTGTCCTTGAAAAAAGGGTCATCAACTTAAAATTCATAATTAAACCATTTAAAAAAAAGGTCTTAAAATTTCTCGAAGAACCAGTTCTAAACGATGTATAGCATGAGATAAAAATAGGGGAATGTGAACTGTTTAATCTTAAGAAAGCCAGCATAAACTGGGGGTGGATGAAGGACATACAGTATAAACGCCGACTTCAATGCAACGTTCTGCTCCAAGAATTTGCACAAGCATTGCAAGCAGTTGTGCCTGATCTGGAGACACCTATTAAAAAGACATCGCATCATCAAAATTTACCACATGGTAGGGAAGTAATGTTCCTTTGGGAGATATAAAATACAAAGGTGATGGACAGAAAGATTATGCGTGTACTTTCTAATCAACTCAGTTCCTTTGTATTCGCTGTAAAATTTCACAATCACATGCTTGACACTAAAAAGACATTACTTCACTAATAGTAGTATAAAGTCCATAGAAATTAAAGAACGCATATGCCTATACACCGCAGTTCCATGCCCAGTTACTGAAAACTACCAGTTATAGCTTGATTTAAGTAGTGATATATTTATAATTATAACTGTCATATAATCGTCTGATTGAAGAGATCAAAACATTGATTACTGAAAAAATGTTGTGGATTAAGTGCAGTGGTTCAAGTTCAATCCTCCTATATAACTGAAAGATAAGCAGCTAGTTACATTTCAACTAGTTAACAGAAACTATAATGTATAGATATAGACCCAAAAGAGAACTATACTGTTCCACTCCGGTGGCCTGAATCAATATTAAACTGAGCTACTGAAGCACAAAGGAACAAGAAAGCTTGTTTGAATAGTGGTAATATTTTAAGCTTGTAAGCTGAATTGCTCCTTGATATTCATGAACCATAACGTGCAAAGTTGATCAGGGGAAGACTAAATTGACGAGGTGTACCTGCATCTGGCTCCCACGCATAGAGGCTGTCTCCTCACGCAGTTGTCTCAAAATCTGAAATGCCACCAATTACAACATCACCAAGGATTGATAAAGTGAAATTCCAATATGAAAGCTTTTTTTTTTTTTTTTGGGGGGGGTGGTTTCCGTGAAGTGAATTGGATAGTTCGCCACCTCTGGTTCTCGAACGCTCTTCAGGACATAGTCATAAAGGCGGGGACTGAGACTGACGACCTGCTTATTGCCGTATTTTTCAGCATGAGCAATAACGAAGTCACTGGTCGAGCAGGTCCTAACAAACTGTCTCTTCCACTTGTGCCCCCACTTTTCTAAGGAGACGTGCGATGCCGTATTAGTAATAGACAAAGTTGCCGATAAGGAACGAAATCTCGGGAGTAATCTTGCAGGCCTCAGAAAACAAGTTTTATGTCCATGGGCCGACAATGATCCGTGATAAAGCGCCATGATATTGCTTTACTACGAATGAAAAGGGATCTCCTTTCTCTCATGGTTTTCCAATTCCATTTTTCTTTGAAGCAATTCCACAAACAGTTGGCGGACAGTAACAGTTTGCCGTTACCGTTCTGACGGAACTGGGTCACCAACAAACAGAAAGAGATCCTCCATGCCACGCGCTACGATACTCAAATTGCTGTACCTTTGCCGCCCCTATCTAGAAATTTGCCAGCGGAAATGGCCAGGCGGTCATAAAAGTATAAGAGCCGATTAGAGAATGCAGCGAAAATTGAAGATGACCCAACCCCTCAATATAACCAACAACAGACATAAAGATGTGTTACTTCGAGTCTTCAAAATTTTTTTGGGCCAAACTTCAAATGAATCTTATCATTTATTGGAGGATGATAAATAAAAACTTTATAACAATATTAATATTAAATTAAATTTTTTTAATATTAACATTCTCAAATTTTAATACTCTTTTTATTATATTTTAATATTAAAGTTTTTAAATTAATATTAATATTTTTATAAAATTTTTACTTACCATTCTCCCTTTTATAATTAACTTTATGAGAGCAAGGTAGTTCACTTAACCTTGCATAAAGTTCATGAGTAGAAAGATAAAAGTTCATTTTTATTTTAAAATATTATAATAAGAGATCTAAAATTCTTATCTTAGTAATATTGTCCTTTAATGTAGCAATTTTGTCCTGCGGGTTAACTTGCATAACATTAATTGTTATTTGACTAATTTTTAGCCAATATCCCAGGTGCATCTGATTCTATTCCTTCTCTCTTTCTTCCATCCTCCTCTCTCCTTTTCATATAAGCGGCAAGCCTCCTTCCAATTGTTCCCAACTCCTTCCATCCATCTTTCTTTAAACCAAACCAAACTTCCTCTTTTATTTGCATCATCTACTTTTACATAAGGCCAAATTCATGAATCCATTACATTTATATACACTAGAACAACAATTAAAAACCATAA